AGATACTCCATTAAAAGAAATATTTATTGGTCAAATAAGTATGGAAAATCCTATAGTCTATTACCATATTGAATAAACATGGTATGTATAATAGTTAACTGATGCTATCAATTTGAGTAAGTGGCCAACTAAGTTGGATCAGCATAGTTCTGGTGTGGCTGAGGGATTTACTGAAGATTTGCTGGGGTTTACTGGGTGTGAATGACAGCAACCAGTGGGCTTGCTGCCTAAATGGTATAAGAAGGAAATGAAGAAGGAAGGCTCGCTTTAGTTTTTTCAGAGGAGCTCCAGTCTTCACCCTCACCTTGGATGTCGTCTCCTGGCTTCCAGTACAAACTCTTCGGCCTCCAGCACAGACCCTTCAGCCTTCCACTGAAAACTCTTCAGCCTCCTGGTACAGACTCACATGGGACACTACAGTGAGTTGCAGGCCTTCGACTGGATCCTTAGGATCTCCAGCTCACAGATAGACCTTTTTCACTCTCCCACACCTGACTCTGGGTAGTTATTGTAAGCCAATCTTGTAAACTCTTATATGTCTATCTTGCATTAAATCTGTTTCTCTAGTAAGCACTAACTGATACAGTCTATATTAACATATTAAAGCCTCTGAGAAGGTCTGCAGAAATAAAACCTGTTTAATTTTGTTTAATCCAACTTTTCATAAATACAGTTGTATATGAAGTCTGTTTTTCAAAGGAACCCCTAAGTTCAGGGTGGTTTTTTTTTTGAGATTGAACATTGTATAGTAAAATAGCAATGACCAATTTTACATAGAAAAATTAAATTTTCACAGTTGGAGTAATATCATACAGCTAGTAATTAACAATGTGGGAGTTCAAATGGTCTGGTCTGATTCAAAATCCTACTCTTTCTATCATTCCAAACAGGCTTACAAGGATACAGTTTCTAACCTGAGATCAGAAGTGACACTTAAAAATAAGAAATGATCTACTGGTTGCTTCTCACATTTTAAAACTACCCACCTTTGATATGTACATGGGCAAAATGTCTATTATTCACAAGGGGTGATGAAAAAATATGGAGAATATTTAAATTTAAAAATTGATTACAGTAAAACACACATTGCCATTATTCTCCCTCAAAATATTCCCCCTTTCTATGAATGCACTTATCCCATCATTCTTGCCACTTTCTGAAGCAGTGCTGAAAGTCCTCTTCCCTGAGTGTCTTCATGCGATGTGATAAAAAATATACCAAATGCTGGGTCTTGTGCCATCCAGTGGAAGGGGAGGCTCATAAAAACATGATAGTATGTCCTCAACATCATATTCACCAGATCTGGCATTGTGTGACTTCTGGCTCATTCCCAAAGTCAAAAGGACCAAGAAAGAAAGGTAAATGTTTTGAATCAGTTCAGGACGTCAAGGCAGCCACAACAACACAACCAAAGACAAGAAAGAGACCTTCTAGAACTGCTTCAGAAAGAGGCAAAAATGGTGGGATAAGTAAGGGGGAACAAGGGGGAACATTTTGAGGAGGATTAATGTCAATGTGTCTTTTATTGCAATAAATTTTTTAAAATTTGAACATTTTTGTATTGGTTTATACCTCATAGTTTGTACATTATAAGGTTATATTTACCAGAAGAAAAAAATAAAGTAATATGTGAACAACAAAGAGTTTGTTGTGGGAGATGTGCAATTAGAGAGCCCATGGAAGGCCCTTGAGCAAATAACATTTAAGCAAACACTCCAAGACAGTAAGGGAGTAATCCCTTCAGATTTGTGAAGGAAGAGTACATTAAGTCAAGATCACTTTCTCAAAAATCCCTTTGGTAGTTTTTTCTGGTTTTTTTCAAGATCAAGCAAGGATGCTGATGTGTTGGTAGGCAATTTAAGGAGTTTAGTTTAGGTTATGTGAAGATTGAGATGTACTTTAGACATCCAAGTAGAAACAACAAATAATGAGGTGGGTTCTCAGAAGTGAGTTCTAGGTTGGAGATCCAGCAGTGAAAGTGTCAGTATTGATATGATATTTAAAGCTATGAGACTGAGATCCTCCAGTAAACTGACTTCATGAATGTGGTTATGTGACAAATGAAGCCTCACTCATTTTGTATGTCAACTAGCCCAGGTTCCTGAGCTCCCAAGGCTAAGGCCTGGCATAGATACCTCACCTTGCAATTTTCCCCTTGTGACCCCTCTTAGGGGACAGTCTGCTGGCCTTCCTCTCTGCACTGCCATCTGAATTGTTGTATCAAAACCTTTTTATGTGCAGGATTTTTTCTACGAATCTAAAGTTCATAGAGAAGTAAAAGAACACTCCTGTGTGCAAGAGCTCACAGGCTCACCAGGGCAACTATATGTGACAAGTTAATAGCAAGAGAGAACATCAAAGCAAAAATGGCAAAAGAAAACATAACCAAGGGCCAAACAAGAGCTTTCTACCAGCTCCTGTCCCCTGCCAACCCCTCTCTTTGGTAACTGCTATAGCCAAGAGTTCCAGTCCTTTGGCTTTGAGCAGAATGAATATCACTTTGCAGACTTCACAGATTCATGTGATGTAGTTAAAAGATTCAGTCACTTTTGAAGCAGACTGAAGCTTCACATCATGTCTCTCCCACTTAATTGCTCTATGACTTGGGAAAATCAATTAACCTTACCTAGCCATAGTTCTTGTTTCTGTAAAACCAAGTTGAACCACTTTTCTTGTTTGATTGTGGTTGAGGATTACCAAAAAGATATGAAAAAGCCTGGGAACACAGAAAGCGAAAGATAAAAAGTTGCTCTTCTTCCTGATGCATTCTCAGATCCTTCCATCTAAGCCAATAGGCCACAGCCCATGGGCTTAAGGAATTTGTTGTGAATTCAAGTTGAAACTTGGGCAGTTTTCTCAGCCTCCTCAAAGCTATTTGCTCTTCTGTAACATATATGTTTTAAAACTGTGATAACTTGATCGTGTCAACTTGACTGGCTTGGGAGCTGCCCAGGGGGTTGGTGGAGCTCACTTCTGGGTGAGTCTGGGTGGGTCATGGAGGTGAGACCTTGGGTACTATATCTGCTCCCTGGCCCCTTCCTCCCTGGTGCTGTTCCCCTGTGCTCTGCTTCCAGGCTGTCATGAACTAAGCAAGCTTATTCCACCAGGCCATTCTACCATGATATTTCTGCTTCGGAGCCAGTTGACCATGAACTGAAACCATGAGCCAAATTAAACTTCTCCTCCTTAAAGTTGTGGGTGCTGGATATTGTGTCCCAGCAATGGGAAGGCTGGCTAATACAAAAATCCATTAGGTTGTTGTATTAAGTGAGACTGTCAGAAAGTATCAGACACATAGGTACAGCTCAAAATCACTTCATCTCTGCCTGATACCTGCATCTGTGTCACTCAGCTCCCCCAGCTTATGGATGAACACAGTGAGGCTCAGTGGAAAGCAGCTAAGGGCTGAAAGACTTGATCCTGTTCTTTTCTATAAAATCAGTCTTTTGATAATAATTTTAACTAAATCCACATCTCTAGCCCTGGTGAATTATAATTGTGGGGTCTTTATACCGTTTGGTAAAATGGTTGTTGGAAAACTAGCATGCCATTCTTAGGATGAGGGGAATTGATAGAGACAATTCATATCTGTTATTCCCTTTAAACCTCACTGCAGCCCTGGATCTAGAGCAGTGTCCTCTCAGAGGTTGTGACCCAACCATAGTTTACGTGGTAGGATGTGCAGAATCAGGACGGCTCTGCTCAGAGTAACTCACTAGGTCTCATCCAACCTTCCTTCCCCAGCACTGACCATCCTGAGCTTGAGGCTACTTACCTGTATTTCAATTCTTCCACTGCTCTCCAGAGTTTGGTTTGGTGGTGAATCTATGGCACGTGTGCCACAGCAGGCTGTTCGTAACATTGAAAGCCCTAAAAGCATCCCCATCACTGCCCTAGAGCAACTCAGGCAGGCTCTCCAGTAACCATGAATGTCATCAGGTGAGACACCAGCCTCTGATGGGGTCTGAGCTAAGCCAACTGTGAAGGCCACATGCTTCAATTCAGGCAGCATGAGCTGAATAAAAAAGATTCAGTGCCGGGATCGGAGAGGGCAGAGAGAGAGAGTCCCTCCTGCCATGCAATTTCTGATTAATCAGACCTGGCTCTCTGAATAGAAAGTAGATGCCACTGTGGGGACTGCCAGATTAAGGAAAATAGCAGAGATGGCTTCAAACTATAGCAGTTTCTGCGAAAGGGATTTGAAGAAAGCACACATAAGGTTTTAGACATTTTATTAGTAGAAGGCAGAGGCGGCCATAACTTAACCTTATTCTTTTCAGAGAAAATCCGCCTGATATATGCTTCAAATAAACATCTCCAATCTCCATGTAAAAGAAAACCCCTAACAAATAAACAACAACAACAACAACAGAAAAGATTTGGGGATGCAAATTATGGATTGGAGGTTTGATTAGCAACTGGACTTGGAAACACAACCTGTATTTATAAAGCATATTCTTGCTCTCCCTCTCAAAAATGTAAGATCACATATTCAGAAGGTCTTGTATGTGCTAGACACCCTGTATAAAAGTTGACTGTCTTGTTTAGCTTTGCTTTTTCCTAATTATCTTCCGGATAAGGAAAGGGAGGCAGAAGGAAGTCACCTGCTCTGGGTCTTACATTCATCAAGGGAAGGCACTAGAGGAACAAGGTTTGACAGAAGAGGCTTTGGTGTCTGTTTGCATTCTCAGTCACTCATCCCTATATTACAGTGGAGGAAACTGAGGCACAGACAGCTTAACTGACTTTCCCAAGGCACTGTAGCCAGTAAAGATCAAAGTGTAATGTAGGGATGAGAAAATAAACATGCAAAGGGTCAGTGGCCAGACCCTATATGACAAGAAAACTCTGATGGCTATGATTTAGAGCCAAAGTGTTTCCCCAACATTTCGTGTGTTCAGAGGTGGAGATTTTGGAAGGTGATTAGATCATAGGGGCAACATACTCATGAGTGGATTCATCTATTGATGAGCTCATAGCGGAATGTGTTGTCAGAGAGGGGAGCCTGACTGGAGGCAGGTTACTGGGGATGTAACTTGGAAGGATGTATTTTTGTTCCTATCTTCCTTCTCTGTTTTCTGGCTGCTATGAAGTGAGCAGTTTTCCTTCTCCCTGCCCTTCCAACCCTGTTTTCTGCCTTAGAATCAGCTGATCATGGACTGAACCCACTGGAAACTATAAGCCAAATAAACCTCTCCTTTAAATTGTAGGGGTCAGGTATTTTGTCCCAGTGACTGGAAAGTGACTCATAACTGACCCTTCACCTCTGCAGCCACTGGCCTGGGACAGTCAGGACATGGACAATAACTGGCAGCTGCCTCAACCACACCCTCTTCCTTCCACCTTGAAAGTAAGCTGAGTTTTTAATTTTTACACTTTTAGTATAAAACTAAAAGTGTAAATAAGGATCAAAATTATAATTGTTATTGTGAAATAGGAAGAAAACATCTAAAGGTGTAGGGGAAGTGGGAGGGTAGGGGAAAAGAAAAGATATGAGAAAAGGAAAAAAATGGAAGCAAAGTCTTTATAAATAGGGAAGGGTGGAGGGGTGAAGGGAGGGCAGTGGAATGGGGAAAAATAAGAACCAAGATACATCATGTAAAGGTACAAGATCCCAATGATGAGTGTAACTGTATTGTCTACCTAAAATGTACCTATAAACTTAATGGAAAAAAAAAACTAAGCTGAGAAAACCACAGTGCTCCCCAAATAAACCATATCGGTTGCCCTGCTTGGAAACAACTCACCTTCTGCTTCTGTAGGCCCAAAGAGTATATTCAAAGCTGCCCTATCTAAAGCAACAGCTTCCCCTGATTCTTCTCTCCATTCCATAAATGCACACTGCTTCTGTCATTTCATGTGTTCTGTTGAGTGGGGCCGTCAGTGTCTCACCTGATGGACACGCCTGAACCTCACTTCTTTCCCTCTCTTAGTGCCAATCTTCACAGGGATAAACTGGACCCAAGTCAAACAAGATCCATTGCATTATTCACTTTTCCATTACTGGGATGCAATACTTGACCCCCACAAGTTTAAAAACAGAGAGGTTTAATTTGGCTCACAGTTTCAGTGGATCCAGTCCATGCTTAGCTGGCTCCAAGGTAAAAACACTATGGTGGAAGGGCACGGTAGAGCAAAAGTGCCTAGTTCAAGGGCGTTGGAAAGCACACAAGGAAACAGCACCAGAGAGGAAGGGGCCAGCAAACGAATGTGGTACCCAAGGACACACCTCCATAACCCACCCAGACACACCTAGAAGTATACTTCACTAATCTCCTCAGCAGCTTCTAAGCCAACAAAGTTGACACAACCAAGCTTAACCTTCACACTCATAATGGCATCTGCCAGTATAAATAAGTTTACCATGAGGTGGGCATTGGTAGATTCTTAGGCTTTAGGACATCCACTGGGATACAGAGCTGATTCTTTAGAGACCTCATCAACCACAGGAGACAGGGGCTGATACCCTTGCTCTGACCAGCCCTGGATAGCTTCCATATGTTCCCTTTTAGTAACAGCTTATATGAATTACCAAAATGAAATGGAGAAGTGAATTAGGAGCTGTCAGAGACAGACAGTGTATTACCATACGAAAGGCTCTTTGAGTCAGGTGCAGGGGCACAGGCCTGTAATCCCAGCACCGAGGGAGGCTGAGGCGGGAGTATCGCGAGTTTGAACCCAGCCCAGAAAATTTAGTGAGTTAGTGAGACTCTATCTCAAAATAAAAAATTAAAAAGAGCTCAGTGCAAAGGTCTTGGATTCATCCCCAGTATGACCAAGTTGCATGAATGAATGAATTAATTAATTAAAAGACTGTTTAAAGACAACAGAAGGAAAGACAGAAAAATGCCCCCAGAAGATGAATGTTCTAGTTTCAAGTGATGCTCCTCCCCTAGAAAGAAAAAAACGTAAGAATCACTGAAGACATTGGAGTTCAAATATAGGGAATAAGAACGTGTAATAAGGAGGTGGTGAATTCTCTGTTCTACATTAAAAGTTCATATCGCTAAACAGGAGACAGAAGCTGTGAAAAGAGGCCGTGGAAGCCTGTTAATTGGGAGAAAGACGGATAAGCAAATATTTTAAACAGAGAGCTTTAACAGTCAAGCTAGCAATAAACCCTATTGTATTTTTACTCTTTTGACACATATTCTAATTGGAGCCTTGCATGCCTTTGCAGCAAAAGCTATGGCTCACTAATTCACTTTCATTTGCCGGAATAAATAATATTTTCTTGTTTAAACTGCTGGACTTGATGAAGTGTATGGAAGCCCTTTAATGAACTCCCTTTCTACCCAAAACAGTCTAGAAGGCAGAGAGGACAAGCCTGGAGCCCCCTGGCTCCCACAATCTCCCAAAGTGGTCAGGAAGCAACTCAGCCTGTAAACATTTGCAAGTGGAAGGGTGCAGTTCGTTCGCTGCCAAAGTGTTGCGCTTGTCCCTGCCCACTCTGGAATGACTGTCCTTTATTTTGGGCTGAAAGCACCATAACTACCTATACTTCAGAAAGAAAATCTTCTCTAATGTAAGCAAACAAAGAAAAGTCACCAGACATTTGACAAGTTTCAGGGGTTCAAAAGAGAGGAACTTTATTTAAGGAATCAAAGAAAATCTCTTTCTACACAACGGAATAACAATGCCCAGATACAAATAATGTATTTGAAAAACATGTTTTCAGCCTCTTAACAAGATTTGAAAGAACACTGTACCTCTGAAAGACAATTAAGATAATGAGAAAAAATTACCTGAATATGAAAAATCTTGACTAGGGGATTTTTTTTTTTTTTTGGTACCAGAGATCGAACTCAGGACCTTGCACTTGCCAGGCAGGCGCAGTGCCACTGAGCTACATCCCCAGCCTTGTCTAGTGGATTTTTAAATGTATGAGCTCTTTCAGATGATGATGGTCAATGACTGTCCCCATTAGAAGAAAGAGACTTTGCAAAGGGGAGCTTGGGCTGAAAGGACCAGTGTTGTTATTAGTAGTCACATGGGCATCACCAAAGCAGTACTAAAGAGAGCTCATCTAGACTTGGCCTCCACCTTTGATATTCTGTTGCTAAAGAAAGGAGAACTAGAGTCTAATCAAATATTTAAACCGGACCACCTAAGGAAAGTCAGGTTAGGAGGAAAGAACACATTAGTTGACACCACAGGTTGCAATTTTAGTACTAAGAATAGGATATTTTATAAGACAAACAGCTAGCATAATGTGAAAAGCAAGGCAGGAATGGTCTGCCCTAGATTAGAAGGAATTTATGAAAAGGAATAACTGGACCTGAGGTGGGGACAGCAGAAAGGGGGCTTTGTCTTGGTTCTACCAAACCACAGTAAAAGAGGTTTTAGAAAAGTTCAGATTTTGATTCACAAAATTATATATTGTGCGATACCAAGAAACTTTTGTTAATTTTATAGGCATGGTGGTTATGTAAGAAAATGTACATCTTATTTTAGACTTGCATACTTCAGTGTATGCAGTACACATACTGAAATATGCATACTTTAGTATATTTTAGATCTGCGTACTTTATATTTAATACATCAGGGGGTGTTTGAGAGTATTTTAAGATATCATAACAAAAAGATAAAAGAAAAGTGTTGCAATTTTTAAATTTGTGTTGAACTTGGGTGCTGATAAAATAGGGAAGTGTTATATTTTTCCTCTCATTTGTTCTTGAGGTCTCTGGAGAATAGCTGTAAATTCTACACCCTGCCCAGATAGATCTCTAGAAGTGATTGTGGATGTTTATTTCTAATGTATCTTTGACAAGATGCTCTGTATCCCAGTGGATGTCCTAACGCCTAAGAATCTACCAATGCCCACCTCATGGTAAACTTATTTATACTGGCAGATGCCATTATGAGTGTGAAGGTTAAGCTTGGTTGTGTCAACTTGGTTGGCTTAGAAGCTGCTGAGGAGATTAGTGAAGTATACTTCTAGGTGTGTCTGGGTGGGTTATGGAGGTGTGTCCTTGGGTACCACATTTGTTTGCTGGCCCCTTCCTCTCTGGTGCTGTTTCCTTGTGTGCTTTCCAACGCCCTTGAACTAGGCACTTTTGCTCTACCGTGCCCTTCCACCATAATATTTTTACCTTGGAGCCAGCTAAGCATGGACTGGATCCACTGAAACTGTGAGCCAAATTAAACCTCTCTGTTTTTAAACTTGTGGGGGTCAAGTATTGCATCCCAGTAATGGAAAAGTGAATAATGCAATGGATCTTGTTTGACTTGGGTCCAGTTTATCCCTATGAAGATTGGCACTAAGAGAGGGAAAGAAGTGAGGTTCAGGCGTGTCCATCAGGTGAGACACTGACGGCCCCACTCAACAGAACACATGAAATGACAGAAGCAGTGTGCATTTATGGAATGGAGAGAAGAGTTTAACATGTCATGTAGGGGAAAGGAATTTTCTGAAACATACATGCTGAACCAACAGGGAGAGAGAGGGAGAGGTAGAGAGAGAGAGAGAGAGAGAGAGAGAGAGAGAGAGAGAAGTATCTTTGGTGCCCCATGGAGTCACACTGTGATTGAAAGATGTTCACCATGGAATATCTCTTCAGTCCCTGCAGGTGCTGGAATCAGTGGGGCAAGTCAAGCACATTGCAGCCTGTGATTCAGGCAGAAATGGTCCTGGCAGGCAGTTGTATAAGGCAAACTTCTGGTCAACCCTTGGAGGAAGTGGAAGAATTCAGGACCCACATAACATCAAGGCTAAACTAAACTTTGCCTCTGTTACAAGAAAGACCAGCTTAAACAGGAAATGGATGTTGAGGCAACTTAAAATTACAGAGACTCACTAAAGGAGGTTGATTTTACTAGTTTCTCCATCTTTTGGTATGTTTGAGATGTTTATATTAAATTTTTGCTAACTATATCATGACACCTCACTCAAAAGGGACAGAGTGTTCACCATCTGACCTACTACTTAGCCACTGGATCTCAAAGTTCATTTTTGGATCTTTTAACTCTAAAACTTATCACACACGAACTTTGTAGTGTGAGATCACAGCTGTGTGGTGGGTGCTGGGCTGCTCCATCCATGTCTCTCCGGAGGATATAGAGACTATTTACCAACTTCCCAGAGGACTGCCTGCCCACATCTCAAAGCTGAATCCTCCTAGGAGCTCCCTCTGGCCAAGGGGCAGATATTGGCCCCTCCCCAGGGCAAGTTCACATCCATTTTCAAGTCCAAGTTGAGATAAAGTCCTCCTTTGTTAACATACAAGATGTGATCAAAATATATGGTAAATGTTTAAATTTTTAAAAAATTTATTACAATAAAAGACACATTGCCTTTAATCCCCCTCAAAACCCTCCCCTTTGCTTCAAACACATTTAGCCCATTGGTCCTGCCACTTTCTGAGGCAGTTTTGGCACTCCTTTTGTTGTTGTTGTTGTTAAATTCTTTTATTGGTACATTGTAGGTAAACAACACAATTACATTTCTCATTGGGAGCTTCTACCTTTACATGATGCATCTTGGTTCTTATTTTTTCCCCATTCCTAGCCCTCCCTTCACACCCTCCACCCTTCCCTATTTACAAAGACTTTACTTCCATTTGTTCCATTTCTCATCATTTTTCCTTTCCCTTCTTTCTTTTCCCCTGCCCCTCACACTACCCCTAGCCCTTTGGACCTTTTCTTCCTTTTTTACATTATCGATTATTCATTCTAATCATTGGTACATTTTAGGTATACAATATAATGACATTCGTCATTGGAAATTTGCACCTTCACATAGTCTCTCTTGGTTCTTATTTTTCACCGTTGCCCAGCCCTCCCTTCAACCCCTCCAATCCCTCCCTACATACAAAGACTTTGTTCCTATTTTTCCATTTTCTCATATTAATCCCATTCCCTTCTATCCTTTCCCCTAGCCCTCCCACTTCCTT